TACTCAGCCTCTCCGGAGGTTGTATTTATCTTGGAAATTTACTCTAGCATTCTTTTTTCCAGAGACCAGAAGTTCTCTGAACACAGGAGAAAGTGGATGACATCACATCATGTCAGTTATCACGGGGTGTGACTGCCCCATCTGACGGCCATTCCTGTCCCTGCTTCTACTTCCTTCACCCTGGGCTCGGAGTTTGAGATCAGAGAGCTCTGCATTCGAGTAGTGGCTTCCCTGTCACACTCTGAGTGCTGAGCATGGTGCATGATACGTAGGGAGAACTCAATAAGCAGTTTAAACTTCAATGACCTGCCGGCTGCTCAAAGTGTGGCCCCTGGACCAGCAGCTTACGCATCTCCTGGGATCTTGTTGGAAATGCTGGATCGCAGGCCCCGCTCCAGACCTACCGAAGCAGGATGTGCATTGTAAGGGGATCCCCTTCTTCACATGCACCTTAGAATTTGAGAACCACTGGCCCGATTCATAGACTTGCTCTGACTTTTTTTTACCTACTCCTCAGGAAGCAGTGACCTGCTGGACTATGAATTGTACATCATAATAAATCCCCGAGTCCGTAATACTTAATAATCTTTTGGTTCCAAGTGTTAAGAACAATTATCTGAAAGTTGAAAATAAAGTAAAAAGATGGCTGTATAATCTTTCAAAATCAAATTGAAACCCTGTCTGCTTAAAGGTTATCTGATTTTCCAGGGGATGTAAGTTTGACTTTGTTATTGATTAGGTCCAGATGCTGTAAAGTCAGATGTGAAATTGTAGAAAATTAAGTTGCAAATGATTTTTGTCCAGGAGAGAAGATCATCTCCAAGAGTATTGGCATGTTATTCCCCTACAGCAGGCGGAGGGCTGGATGATGAATATTGTAGGCTTTGCGGGCCACACAGTCTCCGTTGCAAGCATTCAACTCTGCCATCGCATTGTGGAAGCAGCCAGACTGCTACGAATGTGCATGGCTGAGCTCCAATACAATTTGAATTTCGTGTCAGTTTCACGTGTTATGAAATATTGTCCTTTCTTTTTCCAACTGTTTAAAAATGTAAAAAACACTCTTAGCTCATGCGCATACACAAACGGGTGGTGGGTCTGATTCGATGAGCAGGTCACCATTTGCTAATTCTTGGCCTATAGGTTTCATTGCCCTGTTGATCACTACCTTGTTTTGTATTTATCTTGGAGATTTTCTCTAGCATTCTTTCCCCCCTAAATGTATACGTGATGGTGTGTGTATATTCGTTGATCCTGTCCTTTGACCCAGTTTTTCCCCCCATCTTGCTGGTCCCTTCATGGTTGAATTAAATAAATCTCTGACACATGATAGCCATAGATTCCCAATTCATTTAGAATCGGGAGTAGTTTGACCATCTCTTCCGTTACTTTGGCTCCCCTCCCCACCCAGTGTTTGATGGAGATGTTGTCCTAATAAAGACAAGTCTGTCCCTAATTGAAATTTGGATGCCTACAATGTTACCTCTACCGCTCTGTTAGTACTAGGGAGCCCCTTTTGCAACAACACTCTTCTCCGTAAAGCCCGTGGCTGGGGCTGGCAATGGGCTGGCCTGCGTGGATGAAAGGTAATGAGTTAATGACACTGGTGGTAGCTAATGCACTGTGGGGCTTGGCAAGAAGGTACCAGCAAATGTCAGGCTGCCAGGGCCCACGTGGAGGGGAGCAGGCACGAGGGGCCTCTCCTCATCTCTCCCCTGCACCTGTGCTTGCCGCACAGCCAGGGCCCTGCACCTGTGGATATATGGCGACACACACCAGTGCTCCCTACAAGACTTGGCTCTGACAGGCCAATGTTACTGTTGCAGTCTTTCTATTGTAAGGCAAAGAGCAATAACTCTAGAGGGTGTGGGAGAAGTATGGGCTCCTGCAGAGGGGAAGTTTGCTGGGTGCCTGGTTGGTTCTGGACTGTGGGAGGCGGCATTTCCCAGCCACGGGGAGACTGGAAAAACTTGTCCCCTCCACCCCCTCCAATTCAAGAGGGCCCAAAACACTATGATCCTGTTACAATGCTCATCCTCAATGGCAATCAAAGTAATATTACTTAAAACCAGTTTCAGCAAAGAATGGTATTATTTGCATAGGTATGGGTGGAAATTGGAACTACCCTCTTAAAAGCATTTGGTAATAAATATATTAAACATATCAGTGTTTGTCTCAATCACTAGCTGGTCCTGGGTTCTTGGCCAAGTCAAACCCAGCCCTGGAGGTTGTGAGAGCGCATGGACTAAAACTTATGATATTTTTAACGTAGCTCTATATTTTTAACTACACAAGGATATATGAATATTTGATCATTGTCAAACATTAAAAATTACAGAGCACACTTAAGTTCACCCCTTGGGACTGTTTCCCCCATCCCCAAAACCCTTAGTTTTATACTTTTGTGTGAATCCTTCCAGACTGTTTATTCCATATTTACAGTTATATGTGTCTACAGACTAATTACACTAAGAAGTGTAATTCTGTGGGGGAGATTTTAGATATGTAAGTGATATAATATTTTATCCATATTCCTGCAACTTGCTTTTATCCCTCAACAATATGCCCCCTACATGTTCTCAGTCTGTATGTAAAGGCTGCGTAGAGCTCCCTGAACTAACGGGCCATAGTTTATCTAACTGTCAGTTACTTTAGGGCAGTGGTCCCCCACCTCACCACGCCATAGACGACGGGGGATGTCCACATTCATAACACATGGCTAGCAGAGCTCCTGCTGTGGGGTTGTTGAAAGAAATGAGCTTCCATGGCTAAAGTCCCTGATGCTCAGTAGACGTTAGATAGAAGAGCTGTGTGGCTAAGCCTGTGTTGGAAAAGAAAGCCCTGGAATCTTCTGTGAACATGCTAACATGTTAACTCATCTGTGAGGATCGGGAGAGGGAAGATAGGGCTTCCTCAGAGAGCACCCGAGCTGGTCGGACACTCTTTAAAAAGATGGCCATTGGGCTGTTGGCTCTGAAATTTGCTTCAAAATAACATAGGTCTGACTTCTCTATTTCTTTAAAAAATTATCATCCTTCAAATTGGTCAAATCACTTAACTATGCCCATCTGATTATTTTGACAGTTGACGCATCTCCAGAGTCTCTTTTACAGCTGCGCCCTCCCCCGCTCCCCCGCCGAGAACAACCCACTTATACACTGAGCACAGGAGAAGCACACTCCCTCCAAGGGCCCCCCCACAGGGGTGAAGTGCAGCCCTGCCCTTCTCTGAGAAGACTGCCCTGAGGGTGTGGTCAGCCTTCTGTGTTTTTGACCTCTTCCCAGTTTGAAATTTAGAATTGATTCCCCATTGTTTTCTTATCTGCCTATCTACCTATCTATCCATCCATCCATCCATCCATCCATCATCTAGATCTCTATAAATATCTATCATCTCCATTCATTCATCTATCCATGCATCTATTCCTCTATCCATCCATCCATCCATCCATCCATTAGTTGTCACTAATCTCTCTCTCATTGTTCCCTCCCACAGCATCTCAGCAGTAACATCCTAGAAAAGATTGGGATTCTGTGAGCTGTCAGAGACTGGCACAATGACACCAAGATACGATGACAGGAGACAAAAATACCTGAGGTAGACGCAGCCCACATGACCCTGAGTCACCAAGAGACGACGAATCCTCTTGGTATCTTCCGTTTAAGAAAGCAGGGAAATGTAGAAGATGGTTTAGAAAGATTTCCTGCCAAAGTGGAGAAAATAGAGATAGTTGTGATGCTCGAGGAATGAATGTTAGTTTTCTGGAGAAAACTAATTCTTTATTTCCCAAAGCTGCCTGATAACACACAGCAGGAGCTGGAAGGCGCTGTTTCCATTTTACGAAGGAGGAAACCAAAACTCAGAAAGGACAAGCCACTTCCGTGAGGGCACAGAGTAGGTGGCAGTGGTGGGATCTGAACCCACGTCTGTTTTATTTCAGACGTGTTAACACGGAGATGCACACCCAGATGCTTCTTCAAGGAAGGAGGAAGCTGGACCTGCAGCCAGCATCTCCTTCAGGGTCAGCCTCACCCCAGAGAGCTGCTGTAACTGAAGTCACATCCTTTGCCGGGAAGCCCACATCAGTGACTGAGCGAAGTCCATCTGGGCCTAAAGCCCTGGCCGTTCCAGCCCTATGTGGTCCACTCTGATGGCCAATATTTGCCCCACACCTCGCTAGCAGGTTGGCGGATAATTTGCCAGGCCATGGCTCAGTTCCATTTCTTCCTCTGCCTTCTCTTCGCAAGTGTTGATCCCTAATAAACATCTACTCCAAACTCTGTCTCAGCAACCACTTCCGGAGGCCTGATCTGGAGCCACCGGTGCTGGGAGCAGCCGGAGGAAGCAGGCGGCCCGGTGGGGCTCAGGAGCTGGATCGCCTCCCTCCAGGCCGGCGGCGAGTGACGGCGTGTGGAGCACAGCCTGCCCCCGGCACAAGGCGTGTCCAGTTGTCCAAACGTTCATGGAGGGAACCAGGAGGGTGTCCTGGGGGAGGGAATACACTAGCAGGAGTGATGAATCAGATAGCCGATGACTAGAGAAACTAGATCTATAAGCATAACTAGATTGGATGGCTAGTGCTACAGGCTTTATGCTACAGAAACAAAAGAAACAGCTCAGGACAACAAACAGACATTTGCTCCAGGAATGAAAGCCAAGAGCCTGTGTGTGTGTGTGTGTGTGTGTGTGTGTGTGTGTGTGTGTGTGTTTTATTTGATTTCAGAAAGAAAGGGATAGGGAGAGAGAGATCATGGGTCGATGCTCAACCACTGAGTAATACCAGCCAGGCCCACCACCCTTTTTATTTATTAAGCCACTTTTAATTGGGTTTCCTGTTACTTATGACCAAGCAACCACTCTGTGTCAAGATTCTTTTTTCAAATCTCTGTCTGGAGGATTTATCTCTTCTGTGCTTTACAGTTATTGAGTATCAACTCTACACTAGGCACAGCTACAAGATGATGCTGGAGTTGGGCTCACTCCAACAGGGCAGGACTGGCTCAATGAATGGTCAGAGATGCAATCTTGCAAACAAAAGCAACTTCCGGCTGCAGGTGCTGTCATTCCATGATCTCATTTCTCCATATATCCAGTGTTTTGAAAAGTCTGCCCAAAGCACTGATGGTTATGGAGGCCATGTCATATAATGGGAATAGCTTGCTGTTCCAGAGAGAGAGAGAGGGAGAGAGAGACTGACTAGAGCTTGAGATTCCAGCTCCACCCACTTCCTGGCTCTGCAATCTAGACAAGTTACTTAACCGCTCTGAGCCTCAGTTTCCACACCTGTAAATGGAGTTGGTATCTTGCTCAGAGAGTTATTGTGAGGATTGAATGATTAAAGCATGCAAAGGACTTAGTTAGTGCTTGGCACATGGTGCCTAGCCCTCAAAAGAAAAAAGAAAAATCGGCCCTTTTGCTGTATCTTTTTCATTATTAGTCTTAGAGCTTATAATACAAGTTCCTTATACTCTAAAAAAGTGTATTCTTAATCCAATTTTAAAGTTACTATTATAGATGGAAATTTTTTTATTACAACTTTTATATGGGTTCTTGTCACATGAATTCTTTGATTTAAAAAAGGTACCTCTACTGAGTTTGGCCACTACTGTTACTTCTGCTACTTTGCAGGCAATTTGTACCCTCCGTAAAGAGCTCTGATAGGTACCAGGCCAAGCCCTTTGCACAGAGCGGCTCATTTACTTTTTTACGATGAGGCACCATTATTGTCACCCTGATTTTATAGCTGAGGAAACTGGAGATCAGAGAGGTAAAAAAAAAATTTGCTCAAAGTCACCTGGCGGCCACTAAGTGGCAGATTAGGAGCTGGAACTGGAGCCCTGTCCCCTACCGTGCTCTGAGGCAAGGCCAGAGCATGCATGCAAAACAGAGACGGTTTGCAGCTTGCCCAGGGAAAGTCTGGGGACCACATCTCTGGGTGGAGTCTGTTGTGGTCTTGCCAGGTCTGAGATCCAGCCCCAGCCATCTTCTGCAACCTTATTCTCCACCATTTTCCCACCCACCCCTGCCCCACTGTGTATCCCAGACACACTGGTCTTTAGTGTCCTCAAAAGTGCCACGATCTAACTCACCTCAGGACCTTTGCCCATGCTGTTCCCTCTACCTGGAATGCTCTTCCTCTGGCTGACTCCTGTTTGTCCATTAGACATTGGCTTAAATGTCTCTTATGCAGGGGGGCTGTAGCAGCCACGGACGGCACTGCTTAGAGCCGGAGAACCAGCTGCAGGGAGCATGGTTGACTGACAGCCTCAGCTCCCGGCCCCTTTGGACCCAGGGCCCCTTTGGATCCACCACTGCCTTCACAGCCATACCATGCTCCTGCCGGGCTGTGACATAACTTGTCAGTTACTCAGTATGTCAGGGGCACGGGCGCTGGCCCAATTCTGTCATGGGCATCCTTTGCCTGAGGACTCCCCAGGGGCCTAGCCAAGACCTTCTCACCACTGTGTTGTGGTCTGAGACTCTTCCTACCGGGCCTTCCCTCCCCTCTCCTTTCACAGGTCTCAGACCCACATCACTGTCTGAAGACATTCCCTCTGTCTGCTTTTTGGAGTACCCAAGCCAAACAGAGGCCTTCCCTGACCATGCTATCTGTTCCCACCATATCCTCTGCCACAATATTTGTGGAATTCTAACTGGGCACCTTGCTGTCTGATTTCTCTCTGTCTGCTGGGCACCCAGCACGACACCTCTCTGTCTGCTGGGCACCCAAGTTCCACACGAAAGGCTGGTTAAATGACAATGGAATCTTGGCCGGAGCTTTGGCCATCGCTTCCTCACCTGTCTGTGGTCGTGAAGGCCCGTCCAGGTGTCAGCTGGGATCTCAGGAACGCAGCTGTTCATGAGGTCATTCATGAAGACATTCTCCCAGCTGTGAAGGTAAGAAACAGCAGCGTGTCACCTGTTGCCTCTGCTCACAGGGTGGAGTTGAAGTCTGAAAGCAATCCTTGTTAACGGTCCTGGACCAGAGTAGAGGACAGGATACAATCCTGCCTTTTTCTCCTTTTTCTTTTTTCATTAGGTCACCTGGATGTGACTGTCATCCCAGGGGCACCTCTGGATTTGATCCACGCCAGCTCAGAGCAGGCCTCAGTAATGCCGTTCATCCTAAAAATGTAGAGCCACCTCAAAAAAAACTAGCAAACAAGGTGGGTTATATTGGCGATGCCATGAAGAGACAAAAAAGGAGTGGTGGGGCTCTAAATGGTTTTGCTTAGAGGTTAGAGCACTGGCCCGTGGACCAAAGGGAATTTTTGGTTCCAGTTCTATTCCTCATTAAGGGCACATACCTGGGTTGTAGGTTTGATCCCTGGCCCCCGTTGGGGCACATGTGGGAGGCAGCCAATTGGTGTGTGTCTCTCACATGGTGTGTGTTTTCTCTCTCTCTCTCTCTCCCCCTCCTCCCTCCCTTCCACTTTCTAAAAATCAATTGAAAAATATCTTCAGGTGAGGATTTAAAAAAAATGAGTGGGAGGATTTCTGGGGACAAAGTGTTCTTTGGTCCAACAGGTCTTTGACCTTGGTCCCCCCAGCTGGCTGAGCACCGGCATCCCAAGTGCCCTCAGATGCACCATCCAGGGGCGCCTGCATCAACTGCCGGGCATGCATCTGGGCAGCCATCTGTGGAGGGGCCGCCCGGTCAGTTTGGCGCTATCGCTGTCTTTGTTCGACAGCTCCTGCTTGAGAAACGATTTCAATATTTTATTGCATTTTCCCCATATCTGGCCAAAATAACTCGAAAATAGAAAGGCCCAAGTGTAACTGCAAGTAATAAGGAGATCGGATAAACTTACTTCAATTCAGCTGTTGCTTGAAACAAAGATGGAAATTATTAGGTAAGAACCATGAACTTGAACTTCAACCAGCTGCTCCACGGACATAAGCTGATGTGTGGTTCATTATGAAGGAAAGGACGATATTAAAAAGCATGAAGAAAATTCCAGGATTATAGAACTGGATTGTGTCTCAAAGACAAGATGTAATTGGAAATTTTATAATAGTGTCCAGTTTTACGAGAACAAAACCTCATTGATAACGAATCATTGTTGGAATTCCACTCTTGTTCACGTTTTCAGGAAAGCATTCTGTGCCAAAGTGGAAAACTGCCTGTAAGAGAGAGGAGAGGGGGAGGATGTCAGTGTAAGAGAGGAAGGGAGGGGAGTTGAGAAGAGAGGAAGAAGGGAAGTTGAGGCAGAACGGGGGTTGGGCGGGAGATTGCTGGAAGACCCCTGGATTCGCAGAAAATCCTTTTGATGCCCAGTTAACGGAGGTGTAGCTTCCAGGCACCACGAGGCAGCCTGACTGCCCTTCGCGAGGGCCGGCTAGAGGAAAGGCTTCCGCGGGAATCAGTGGCACGTTTACTCTTCAGTGGACGTACCTCATTTTCTCCTGTAGGCTGAGAATTTTTGAGAACTCATTCTATCCTCCTTTATATGTGCCAGTCTTGCGCTGTGCTCTGTATCACAGGGCACTTGACTTTTCAAGGCTGCCTTTCCCTGTCAGGTCAGCCGCCCTCCACGTAAGGGAGGCACGGATGGAGCACGGGAGGGAGAGAGACGTCAGGCTATTTCTTTCCCTTCCTGCCTAGGGAGTCGGGGCTGGTGCTTCTCTCTGCCTAGGGACTGGCCTCGTTAGCGGCGGGATTGGCTTTCCTGCTGTTGCGAATCTCTAGATCACCTCACTACCGTCTCTTTAGGTTCTCAGGTCCCATCACCTATGGATATATTCAATTCTCTCTGTTTTAAATATCTGTAGTGGTTCCCGTTCTCCTGGTTAGATCCTTTATTCTCACTATATTCTTCAGCACCACCGAGAACACAGTGGGTGCTCAATCTATCTGTTGGGTGAATAGATGGGAAGATTCAAGACTCCCTTGGAAACTAAGAGAGAACGAGGACCCCTTCTTGTTTTTAGCAAAACTCAGTGACTCTAAAGCACGAAGAACCAACTGTCTTTCTACCTCCAAGTCTCTGAGATTCTTGAAAAGCAGAGGCCAGTGTGAATTCGTAGCTTGGGTGGCATGGAACATAGCACACCTGGCTTCAGGGAGCCCACAAGTCAGCAAGGGCGTCAGATGTGAACACCGGTCATTAAATGCAGTGGAGAAAGTGCTCTATCTAGGAGAGTGGCCGATGAGTGTAAACAGGCTGCCATGGAGACAGGGAGACTTTGGTGAAGAGATGTTGTCAGAGCTATGTCTTTAAAAAATGTTTTTATTGATTTCCGAGAGGAAGGGAGAGGGAAAAAGATAGAAATATCAATGATAAGAGAGAATCATTGGTTAACTGCCTCCTGCACAGCCCCCACTAGGGATTGAGCCTGCAACCCGGGCATGTGCCCTGACCAGGAATTGAACCGTGGCCTCCTGGTTCATAGGTCAATGCTCTACCACCGAACCATGCCGGCACAGGCAGAGTTATGTCTTTTGTTTTTTTTTAACTTATTTTTATTTCTTTCAGAGAGGAAGAAAGAGGGAGATAGAAACATCAATGATGAAGAGAGAGTCATTAACCGGCTGCCTCCTGCACACCCCCAACTGGGGATCAAGCCCGAAACTCGGGCATGTGCCTTTGACCAGAATTGAACCCGGGACCTTTCAGCCCGCAGTCCAATGCTCTATCCACTGAGCCAAACCAGCTAGGGAGGCAGAGCTATGTCTTGAAGGTTGAGGAGATAGCTACCTGGAGTAGAAGATATGGATGGAAATTCCCAGCAGAGGGAACAGAATGTGCAAAGGTATGGAGGTATAACAGGGTTGAACCAGATTGCAGAACTCTGAGATGGTCAGTGTGGCTGGGGCTTAGGAGACAGAGGATGGATGCCTTGGTGGGTAAACTATAGAATTTGGCTGCTTAGGTTCAAAGCCAAGCTTCACCACTTTACAGTTTGCTCAAAGGAACTTTGAGCAAGTTACTTACCTTTTTGGAGACTCAGATTCCATATCTGTAAAATGCAGATGCCTACCTAATTTAATTTGAGGGAGGCTTAATAAGATGATGTACGCCAACACTTAGCAAATAAACATCAGCTATTACTCTTATGTTCTTTGTGTGTATATTGTGTGAGCTACCGTAAAGGGCTAACCCCCTATGATTAAAGAGCAGGGAGGGCACAGCGCAAGATCGACACTTATAAAGATGGACCTTCCAGCACACTCTTTGCTCCTCTTATTAAATGCTTTGCCTTCTATAGCCAACGACAGTTTTGATGAGAAATTGAGCTGGGTAAAGTTCAGTTTTGCCTAGCTGCCATGGCTCAGTGGTTGTTGACCTACGAACCAGGAGGTCACAGTTCAATATCCAGGTTCAATTCTCAGACAGGGCACATGCCCAGGTTGCAGACCCCTCCCCAGTAGGGGGCATTCAGGAGACAGCCAATCAATGATTCTCTCTCATCATTGACGTTTCTCTCCCTTCCTCTCTGAAATCAATAAAAATCTATTTTTTAAAAAGTCAGTTTCAATTACTAAAGAGAAGCGCCAGTGGCAAATGCCATTCTCCACTCCCCTTTCCAAAGCGGGTGCTTGGTTGGGCTGTGGAGGACCAAGGCGTCTACTCACCTGAGGGTGGAGGCCAGTTTGGTGCACCTCCTGCTGGCGGAGAACTCAGAACAGTACAAGCCAGCCTCGGCCCAGGTCTTATTGAGAGGGAAAAACCGGTAGCAGTGGCCTTTGAACTCCATCCAGAACAGCGGGCGCAGGGAAGCCTGGGGCAGTGCTGGCATGGCTGGGGGCAGAGAGGAAACAGGCCGGGAGGAAGGCGGGCACTGCCAACATGGTTTCTACAGCTTCTGACATATTTTTAAGAATGAAAGTAAAACATGTCCATTATGATTAATGCATTTCTACCCTTGAGGTCCAAAAAACACATGCATATCAAACATTTACAAATTAATCAAAGTCATATACGCTCATTATAGAACACCAGGAAAATGTCACTACTTTGATACATTTTTCTTCATGCCATGCTTGAATGAAGTGATTTTTTAAAACACAATTGTGGCCCTAGCCGGTTTCGCTCAGTGGATAGAGCATCAGCCTGCGGACTGAAGGGTCCCAGGTTTGATTCCGGTCAAGGGCACGTGCCTGAGTTGTGGGCTTGACCCCCAGTGGGTGGGTGGCGTGTAGGAGGCAGCCAATCAATGATTCTCTCTCATCATTGATATTTCTATCTCTCTGTCTCCCTCTTCCTTCCTCTCTGAATCAATAAAAATATATTTTAAAAAATACAATTGTGGCTCTGGCCACTTTGTTCATTGATTAGAGAGTTGGCCTATGGACTGAAGGGTCTTGGGTTCGATGTACCTCAGTTGTAGGCTCCAAACCTGGCCGGGGTCAGGGCTTGTGCAGTAATCAACCATCGATGTGTCTCTCTCACATCAATGTTTCTCTCTCTCTCTCCTCCTTCTCCTCTCCTCCCTAAAAATCAATGGGAAAATATCCTCGGGTGATGATTTTTTAAAAATACAATTGTGATTATATTGTATTATACACACCAGTTAATATTCTGATTTCTAAAAATTAGAGTATGAGCATTCCCCCACACATGGTAAGTTTTATTAAACATTGTTGTAAATAGCTCTTGAAGACTCCGCTGAGTGGCCCCTCTAGAGTTTATGTAATCATTCCCCTATCTGTGGGTAATTAGATTGTTTCCCCTTTTAAACAACAATTACCCATTATGCGGAGATGAACAGCCGTGGGCATAAAGCCTTTTCAGCATTTCTCATGATTTTCTGAGGAGAGATTTTGAAGGTTTGATACAATTTGCTAAATTGCCTCCTGAAAGCAATCTGTACTCCCACGTTCATGTCTGAGTGCCCGTCTCACAGTGTTACCACTTTCAGGGCAATCTTGGCCAATTTTATAAGCAAAACATGGTATCTTGTTTCCCTTTGCAAGTCTGGGCTCTCTTGCAAGGGTGGGCATTTCTTCCACGTGTTTATTGACAAACTACAGCCAACACTATTTATATCGTCAGCCCATCGAAGTGCTGGGGTTTGTTCTTAATTCTGAAGAGGCTTAAAGGGAAAACCCACATTCGAGACAATAAAGCTCTCCCGAACTCCAGCCCCTCTGGCGTGTTGTTGTTTTTTAAGCCATAAGTCCAGATGGCTGGCGGGAGGAAGGCATGCTGAGTACCATCCCTGAGTGGCTAATCTGTGAGGTCAGGCAGTGGCCAGAGGTGACATTCGATGCCCGAGGCCCAGCCGCCAGCTCTCCACCTGAGGAGCTGTGTGATGCGCACACTCCTTCCCTTCTCAGCTGTCAAATTGGCTGATCTTTGGGGTTCCTTCCGCAGTGCTCAGGGGTGTGGAGCCTTTGCCTTTTAAGCCACTATAATAGCGGGATAAAAAAGGGAGTGGACAACAGTTATTGAGCATTTATGATGTGCCAAGTTCATACTGGGGAAACTGTGGCTCAGGCAGGTTGACTTGCCCAAGGTTATCCTGCTAGCGAGTGGCAGAGCAGGGACTTGAACCGGGGCCTCCTGACGCCAAAGCCTTTGATCTGAGAGCCCACGCCCGTGATGCTTCCTCACGGGGAAACCAGCAGGGCTGAGGATGGCTAATCGTCTTTTAGCACCCATTTCACTGGGTTGAGCACTGGGGACATTGCTAGAACATTGTGTTTAAATATAATGGTACAGACCTCGCCGAAGGTTGCTAGCTGGGCCGAATAAATCTGCGGAGCACTTGGCATATATGGATCACTCTGTAACAGTGTGATTATTAATGACTAGCTTAGGCTTTCCTAATCGTGCTGAGGCGCTTCAGGAGTCTAGGGAATCCCCTGAAATTAAATGCAAAATTGACCGTGTGTGCGCGCCTCCGTGCATTTTTCTGAAGAAGGGGACGGTTGCATTAATCAGCAGAGCTCCGCTAAGCAGGCAGGTTCCGAGCTGTGCTTCCTGTCAGAGCCACTGAGCTTCTCCACTGACCAGGGTCAGCCCTGGTGTGTCCCACCCGCGGGTTGGTCCCGGCCAGCTGCCTTTCAGTGTGCGCTATTTTCTAAACGGATGCACACTTTGCCGCCTTGATTCTCCTCTACGTGGCAAAGGAGAGGGCTGTGCGTGAGAGCTCAGCGGGCTCAGTGTCCTCGGGTCCCTGCCCCTCAGGGCGCGGTCTCCTCCTTTCTCAGCTGAGGGCACTGGTCCAGAAGGCCATTGCTGCGATGGCTTTGCGCGGTGCTGGCCAAGAGGCTGCAGGACCCCTTGGGACGCTGTGTGTTATGAGCTCTTCGTGGGGACTTGCGGCACTGCCTTCCACACAGGCAGGCTCGGCTACTTTGGAGCAGTTTCCCCTTCACGTGGACGGAAGCAGCAAACCGTTTCCATCTCCTTTCCACCCATCACTGTAACTACATTGGTGTGTCCAGGAGTTGGCTGGACTAATTGGCAAAGAGGATGGTATTTCTGGTGCTAAGCCGCCTCCCACTGAACTATTCCTCTTAGAGAGGGAAGGAAGTAGGGTAGCCCAATCATCCCAGTGTGCCGGGGGCAGTCCCAGTTTTAAAAGTGGAAGTCCCACATCCTAGGCCTCCCTCGCTGTCCACCCTGGAGCAATGGTTTAGGGGCAATTTTCACCCCCAGGGACATTGAACAATGTCTAGAGACATTTTTGGTTGTTAAAAACTAGGGGAGTACTTAGTTAAACTGGGGGTGTAACTCATATGGTTGCGTGTTATCCCATGCATCAAGAGGTCACGGGTTCAATTCCCAGTCAAGGCACATGCCCTGCTTCCGGCTCAATCCCCAGTAGGGGGCATGCACGAGGCAACCGATTGATATTTCTCTCTCACTGATGTTCCTCTCTCTTCCTCTAAAATCAATAAAAACATACTTTTAAAAATGGGGTGCTATCGGTATCCAATAGAGGCCAGGGATGCTGCTGAACATCCTACAATGCATAGGGCAGCCCCCACGACAAAGAATTATCGGGGTCTCAATGTCAGTCATGCCATAGAAACCCAGCCCTGGATGGAAGGCAGAACTCCAAAAATATAAAATAACCCCACAGCACAGCAACACAAAACATCACAGCAGATATCCACGTTTCTCAGCTTATCTGTATTTTAACAAAAATTAAGCCACAGGCCACGCAACTGATTAAAAGTAGAGTTTGGGTTATTTCTCTAATTTCAGAGTTAAGACATATCGTTATTATAATACACTATGGCTTAAAAGCACTGTGGACATTGCTAGAACACTGTGTGTAAATTTAATGGTACAGACCTCACCAAAGGATGCTGGAGAAGGCAGGGCTTGCTTTTCCTCCCTGAGTTTGGGATGAAACAGTCATTTGTCATCTCTGACAGTGGGAGGAGTTTTGTGTTGGGTTTTCCTCCTGGAGCCCCTTTCCCATAAGGTGGACCATCAAGGGTTCTGCTCTGTGAGGCCCCAGTCTCATTTCCGGCTCCTTTCACCCGTCCCTGGGGATTCTTGTTCAGGCTGGTCCCTCTGCCCCACTCAGGTCAACGACTATAGTAACAACCCTCTCCCAGTGCCTGGCACACACTAGGCACAAAATAACTAATTTTCAGTGACTAAATACGTGCCAGGGAATCACACACTGTTTCTTTTGGGCAACTGCCCCCTTTTGGGGACAGTGGAGAGAAGGGTGTGTGCCCCACCCACGTGTCCTTTCTCTGGGATGGTTTTTCTCACTGAGCACTGAAGGCAGGCTGACGCTTGATTGTCCAGATTATTTAGCACAACAGCAGCTGAGAAGGGCAGCATCAGCATGGTCAGGGAGCTTGTTAGAGATGCAGGATCTGCCCTAGCCAGTTTGGCTCCGTGGATAGAGCGTCAGCCTGTGGGTCGAAGAGTCCCAGGTACAATTCCGGTCAGGGGCACGTACCTTGGGGGCAGGCTCCTTCCAGGCCCGAGCCCTGGTCAGGGCGCGTGCAGGAGGCAACCAATCGATGTTTTCCTCTCACATCGATGTTTCTTTCTGTGTTTCCCTCTCTCTTCTGCTCTCTCTAAATTCAATGGGAAAATATCCTCGATTGAGGATTAAAAAAAGAAAAGAAATACGGCATCTCAGACTCACCTGCCCCAGACTCACCAAGTCAGAATCTGCATCTTAACAAGACTCCCAATGGTTCGCGTGCACAGAAGGTCTGGGAGCACTGGTCTACCGTGTGCCAGGCCAAAGGACAGAGCCTGTAGACTCACTCCCTCATTCACTCACTCCCTGCATCAGGCTTGGCCAGGAGGACTGGATGATTAATTAAATGCTTAGGGGGCAGCTGGGAGGGGAGGGGAGGATCCCAGCTCCCAGGAAGCTCTGAGGCTTCTCCGGGGCCGAAGCCTGAGGACTGTTTTAAGAGCAAGTCCCCCTGTGGACAACTCTCTCCCACAGAGCTATTAACACCCCCTCCCCGCTCCCCACTCCGGATCCTTTTGATTTTCTCCCCCAAGCAGATGATGGTGATGGGTTCCTGGGGTGAAACATACCAGAAAATGAGGCTGTGACAGGTCATTGCTCAATTACTCCCCTTTCCAGGTGAGCAGGCAAAGGCCTTTAACTGGGAGGATCTGGGAGGCAGCAGGAGCCTGTGCTTGCACTGGGACGGTAATGAACTCCACTCTGCCTGGTATCCAACCCCCCATCCCCCCTCCAGCCCCCCCAACCGCTCCATACTCACTTTTCCTCTGGGATTTTAGAAACTTGGAATAGAAGGATACCAGGAACATCTGTCATCATCCTAAACCCAAAAGTAGCCTTTGTTAATGTCTTTCTTCTGAAGGGATTTCTACCATTTTATAGCTTGACAGGTAGTAATGGCAACAGAATAACCAGGCCAACTGAGTTTTCATCGGAGCTAGGCATTGTGTCAAGTGCTTTGCACTTATCCATTTATTAGTCTTCACACGCCCTATGATGTAGGTCGCCCCCAGTTTACAGACTGAGAAACCAAAATCACAGAGAGGCCGAGTAACGTGCCTAAGAGCACACAGCTCCTAAGGGGCAGAGCTAAGTAAGGGATGAAGCCAGGCTGTCTGGCCCCAGATCTCACTGAGAGATTTCAGCTGCAGTCATGCCCTCTTCCTTTCGTCTCAGTCGTGACTGGCTGAACCTTCATGCGTTCCCTTATTCATGCGACAAGTCCTGGGTGAGCACTTCCTTGGTCTCAGGCAGCCGGGCGCATGCTGGAGACGCCGTGTGGCAAACGACACAGAGGTGGCTCTGCCCTCATGTCCGTGGACCCCGATATTAAGAAAAATCAGCGCACACACAAAGACGTCACTAATCTGTAATTTGTGGATGTGTGTCATACAGGCAAAAACTTGAGGGAGCAGCCCCCAAATTATTTTGGCAGCTGACTGTTTGCCTCTTTTCTCTTCCTAGTTGAACTGGTGGCTGCCTTTCCCCTGTCTTCAAGGAGGTGATTATAACAGGCACCAGAATCCCCTTCCCTGACAGAGGAATTTAGGATGTTGTCACAGGGGCACCTAAAAGGGACGCATCACCTCCACGTGGAGATCAGGGAGGCTCCCTGGAGTTGAATGAGAATCAGAGAAAAAATTTCCCAGGTAGCAGAACGGTATGTGCAAAGGTATAAAAGAGAGGAAGAAGCATTTGGGGTAAGGGGGGGGTGGTTATGAGAAGAGGCCCAGGAGGTGACAGAGGGAGGGTAGGAAAAGGATGCACAAAGGAGCTTGTTGCTCTGGAAACCAAGCTGCCAAACTGCAAGGTCTTTTGCTTCAATTAGCAGCACCAAAGGCCCCCAAGGTCCCCCGGCAGGGACGGGAGTCGGAGCCTTTGGGACCACTGAGCTTATTAAGGAAAGAACACACCAGTGGAGCTCAAGGCTCATTTTCTTTCCCACTTTCTCTCTTTAAAAGAATAAATTGTCACCCTCCCACTCAATCTGGCTGCTCGCTCCTCTGGCCCCAATCCAGCCACCCACAAACTCGCTGCCCTGCTGCCTCCTGCCCAGATCAGCGTTGGGAGCCAGCCAGGGGAGGAGGAGGGGAGCTCTGGGGGCCACCTTGGTGTGGGTCCCCCCACCCACCCGCACTGCTGGGCCCCAGGTGTCCCAGAGGGCCGGGAGGAAGTGTCTCTCAGTGTCCGGGAAGGTGGCCCGTAGGAGGGCTCAGTCACTTTCATCACCTCCACTTCCTGCTGCCTTCCTGGTCCACATGTCCCACTGCCAGCCCATCCTCCCTCCCAGTGAGTCCTGGCTCTGAAGGGAACTGGGGGTCCCACACCTCGCATGCCTGAGCTCTGCTTTCCCGTCTCTGGGCTGCTTTAGTGGCCACACGATACAGAGGAGAACAGCGCCCATGAGGTGGGGGGAGGGGAGCTGGAGGGGGGCTGTCAGGAGGCTCAGCCTGGCCCCCAACATCCCTCAGGTCAGGCGGCCTGCAGCCCAGGCAGCTGGGCCTCACTGACAGCACCTCTGAGCCCATGGGGTGTCCTCCTCTCCACCTGCTCCCGGCCGTGGCACGTGTGCTCACCTGGGCTGATACTGATGTCCGCTTTGGAAAGGCCTGTGCCGAGAGGAGGGTCAGGGCGGCCGGGGCCCACAGCTCCCACCTCTGCGTCCTGAGCCCCCAGAAGCCCCTAGTGGAGGAAGGAGGCCCCCCGGGGAGCTTGGGTCAGGATTGCTCTCCTGGGCACAGGTGGGGGCGGCCAGAGCTGAAGGAACAGGGTAGACCCCAGTCTCCTTCTCCTCCTCCCCTACCTTCTCTTTGCCTCCTCTCTCGGCAGGAGACAGCCCCGGGCCAGGCCCTCAGGGAAGCTAAGAGAAGCAGCAGCCCTGCTTCTGAGCCCTGGTGGCCCTGGCTGTGCACTTACTTCTGAGATTCAGTTTCCTCCTCTGTAAGATGGGGTAATAACAGAGCTCATGTCCCAGCTGTTTCAGGAGATAAAGCATTTCGGCCCCTCGGAGGAAATATGAACCAGAAGGTAAAAATGCAAGTTACCATTGAGGGCAGAGGTCTCTCAGCCAAAGCCAGCTCACCCAGGGCAGTGAGTTGTTTGGTCCATGCTGTGTTTTTAAAAAGATTTTTAAAAATTGTTACCAGGGTATTAAATCAGGAGATTTTAGGTGTAAGTCCAGATTTCTGCCTTCTGTTGAAAATCTAAAGATCTGGTCAAAGTGCCCTCATTTACACTGAGCCATAGGAACAATTGGTCAGAGCTGGGAAAGGGCGCCCCCTGCAGGTGGGGCCTATGGACTTCAGCTGAGCTGCTCCCCACCCTGTCCACCTGGTCCCCAAAGCACTGGAGACCTGGTGGCGCAGGAGGCTCAGAGGAAGGGGTGTGTGCAGGCTCCCTTCAGAGTCTCTTGGAGGTTAAAGAAGGCTCGGTTGGAGGTTCTTGCTCAACAAAGAGAAGCAAATGTTATTGTTAATAAACAGTGCTAGTGTGTGGTTTGCTCAGACTTACAAGCTTTTAAATCCGCTGGTGTTTCTTGGGGATCTCATTGCATTTACGGAGAATTATTATCGCTAAAAACCAGTCTTCCCTACCCTTTGCGTCCCCTCAGGCAAGTCACTTTGCCTCTCTGAGCCCCACTTTCCTCCTTTATACAATAGAAGTTAGTAACAGTGCCAACCTCACTAAGATTAAGTGAAATAATATGTTTATAAAACTTAGAATAGATGCTGGCAAGTGGTAGGTGTCCAATAAATGATAGCAAACTTTGCTGTGGTTATTACTGACCTCGTGGAAGCCTTTTCCTGGCATTCCACACTCTACGCACCCTGCACCGCCCCCTTCTTTCCCGAAGTCTCAGCCGGGTGCCCTGACACTCTGTGCAACTGGCATTCACTCCCTTTCTCCCTGGAACACTGGTGTGCCTGCGAGAATACCTTGTGCCAAGGCCTGACTCAGGCCCATAGCGCAGCCCAGCCCCCTTTCAGCGAGCAGCGGGCCTCACGTCACCACCTGCCTTAATACTCTGTGCTGGTGCGCACCCGGAGCATGCACACTTATTATCTGTAAATGATAAACATTATTCTGTAAGTGATGTGCATGCACACTGTGTCTGTTAGAACACACCTTTCCCCAAATCGACATTTTAAAAAGTTGGCACAAAATATAAATCTAGAAGAAGGTTTGGATATTTTTCTCCCCTCCCCCCCTCACTGGGTGCACTCTACTTTGGGGGCCCCTGCTGTCATGGAGATCACTCTCCAGTGAGAGCCTAGCCAGTGGGGAGAAGGGGGGGTAGTCAGACGCAGGCCACTGAGACGTGAAGGATCCTTTGATTTGGCAAATAAACCTCCTAATGATCTGTTGATAATGCGTGCATGTGTGATGGCTGAAGGTGTTGGTAGATGGGTTCATGCCCGTCTCTGGATGGAAACTTAAAGTGTTCGTTATAGGCTCAATCCTGAGTGTCTGCGGACCAGCAGGAGCACCTGAGAACATGTGAAAAATGCAGACCCCCGGCCCCAAACCAGACCTGCCCGGTCAAACCTGCTTTGTCACTAGCTCCCAGGGTGGAGGTGTGGGCGGGATGGGGGGCAATCATATGTACATTAACATTTATGAAGCATTGCTCTAGACAGGGGTAGGCAAGCTTTTAAAAAATTATATATTAAAAATATTTTTATTGATTTCAGAGAGGAAAGGGGAGGGAAAGAGAGAAACATCAATGATGAGAGAATCATTGATTG